TGGAACGGCCCGTTCCAGTTTGGGAACGGCCCGTTCTGGACTACTGAATCAACCTCTTTTTTTTTTTTTTTAACAATGTTACACTAGTAGTATCAATTTGAGTGTTAAAGTGTCTATTATAACTCCTTGAGGACATCAGTTCACATAAAGTGCACTTTTATCAAGTTACTAAAATTCAATCAAAGCTAGGAGTCTCAACTCATTCTTAAGCATTAGTAATTTACTTTTATATTAAAATTCGCAAAAATATATTATTCATGAAAATATTACCTGTAAATAAAAATTCATAGAAAAATTCTTAAGAAAAATGTTTGTTACGAATTTTAATACAAATTTGCATAAAAAATCACATGTAATAAGAAAAATTCTAGTATCAATTTGAGTGTTAAAGTGTCTATTATAACTCCTTGAGGACTTCAGTTCATATAAAGTGCACTTTTATCAAGTTACTAAAGTTCAATCAAAGCTGGCAGTCTCAACTCATTCTTAAGCATTAGTAATTTACTTTTATATATATTGTAAAACTTACAAGTATTGAATTTCACAAGAAACCTAATTTATAAATCATTTTTGATAAAAAAAAAAATAATATTAAAAAAGATGACTTGTAAGTGTACAGCATATTATTGGCTTTGTTACCTGGACTTCCAACTAGTTCAATGTTTGTGAAACTTATGCAAGTGATCAAATTCAAGAGTAAAGTATTTTGAAATATCATATTTGAACTCTACACGACACCCTGATTACATAAACAAAATTCTTTCTACTTTTCTTTTTGGTTTATTGAACAAAATAATAATACATGTCTGCCAATATAATAAATTAGTGGGTTACAACACATGAATGCATATAAACCATCTCAAGAACTCTGTTCCTCAAGCACCACAGGCAGCTCCAACTTTTCACTGCCCCTCTGAACCATCAATACTACTTTATCTCCTACGTTATACTCATCCAATGCTTTCAACAACTCAGCCTTGCTCTTGACCTGGCAAGGATGCACCAAAGTATTTGGATAAAGTTTGCCATAAACATGTAGGAGGAAAAAATTTTCATGATCAAAAATTAAGATTCATAAGCATCATAAATCTCGAGAATCATAATTTTTAAGAATGATTAAATATTAGTTGGTCATAAATATCTCTGAGAATATTTATATATGATTCGGAAATTAAATTTTTTATTACATTAAATAAACAAATAAAGTTAACATGATATTTTTATTGTAATAAAATTTTCCTTTTATCTCGAGAATATTAGATTCTCACCTCTGCTCATGGGAACAATTTTGTAAGAAACCTATATAAAAAATATTCTCGAGAAATAATGTTTCTTAAGAATATTTTTTTAAAATAATAAAACAAATATGAAAAACTAACATTCTCAACTTTAGATTCATGAGAAAATTAAAATATTTTGCATACCAAATACTCCCTCACAAGTGAAGAAAATACGGAAGTAAAATAAATTGAACTTCCCATGTAAGCTAAAATCAACTCATGTACTTAACTTTTATAAAAAAGCTCTTTTCATTTAATTTCTTTTGAGATAAGGTGCATATGTTGAATTTAGCTTATGAAGAAGTTCAATGCATCTTAACTTCTTATTTTCTTCACCAACAAGTATTTATGAAGAAATTCATCTAAACATGACCTTAAACAAGTAGTGTGGCGGTTGTGTAGGAGTAGTATTTGTATTTTATAGATCAAACATATAAAAGGCACAAGAAAAAGTGAAAATAAAGGTTAACAATATAGAATGAATATTTTGGCTTTTAAAAGTGCATGATTTAAACAATTTATACAAAATAATGCTCACAGGCTTATTGTCAACTGCAACAATGATGTCTCCAAGGACTATATTTCCAGCAAAGCCCCTTGTGGTGGGATTTAGGCCAGCTTTGGCAGCAACACTATTTGCAGGAACCTAAGGAACATAAGTTCTAGGGAGTTAAAGAATGGTTTGGAAGCAAAGTTTAATTACAGTATAAAAAGAGGATCTTGTGGATTTACCAGAAGAACAAGTGCTCCATTTCGAACATTAAGTTGGTTTGCAATTAAGTCCGGCGCAATTTCCACGTTTAAACCAGCTCTAACAACCTTAAATTGCCAAATCATGTAATCAAATATAGCCATAGGGTACATAAATCTTAAAAAGCATGCTGCTGAAAGCAAAGATTATATATATTATATAGAAACATAAATAAAGATAAGCACAAAAACAGTTATTTTTTTCGTGTTTCCTTCAGAGACCAACAATTAAGCCTTTTTTCTCTTTAAAATCTAGAAAATTAATGTACTTCGATTTTATAAAACATAAAAAGAACAATCAACCAGAAAACTTTGTCAAGATGTACATAGAGTTGATATCTAAAATAAAGAAGCAAGAAACACATATTGCACAATACAATTTTCACACAGAGCTAAATATTTGCCTAGATTGTTTCTTTGTATGTGTGATTCCATGAAGCACTTACTTTTCCAAATCGTATCAGCTGTGGAACAATTCGCAAGACAGTTGAAGATGGGATGGCAAATCCTACACCAGCTGATGTTCCTGCAATAGCAAGAAAAAAGGCAACAAACGTGAAGCATACAAAAGTAACGAGCAACTAGAACTTGCAAGCTTAAACAGTCATTTCCTCATGCAAAGGAAAGTGAATAGATCAACAATGTAATGAAGTGAAGTGGTTAAAACACTAAGACAGGTGGACCGAAAAAGTTTCCTCAGCTATCATATTCAGATATACATCGATGTTCGGTAACATAGTTCAATTCCTTCTAATTGTGAAGGTAACATAACTTGCCTGTCTGAGTAAATATTGCAGTATTGATCCCAATTAAGCCTCCTTTTGAATCCAGAAGGGGTCCTCCGCTATGAGTCACAGGAAAAGTAAGAAATGCAGCATGAGATATGACAGCCAGTTAACACTTAATACTTCCTTTAGTCTTTATTATTATGAGGCACAGTTTACCTTTTGCAGATATTTACAATTTCTATAAAAGCATTACTTTTTGTTTTCATTATTTACCCCTACTAAAGATTGTGAATATTTGTGCTTCTTGTTATTGAATAACGAGAAGAGAATATCTATAAGTCAATTATTATTGGTACTGATGCATAAGTAATATCTTCACTTCTCCTATAAGAATTTAATGATAAATAATAAAGGTAAAATTGGTATATCTCAAAATTTTTTAAGAAAAACAATAAAAATAACTATTTATATTGGTATATATGATTCTATTACAAGTGTCTTATAATAAAGATGGGAGGGGGCGTAGTTAATAACTTAATACCAATAATGAAAAGAACTCTTTTTTAAGAAAGAGAATTGCAACAAACTAAAAGGATAAATTGGATAAAGAAAAATGGAAGGGGACTATCCTTAGTTCATATATGGAAGGGAGCCTAATATAACCTGTTCCCGGGATTTATGGCTGCATCTGTTTGAATACCACCACCAATTGTTACCCCAGTTTGACTAGAGATGTCTCGGTTAAGTCCGCTAATAACCCCAACCGTGAGGGTGTGATCAAAGCCAAATGGATTTCCAATCGCCAAACATTGCTGCCCAACTTTTAGAGAAGATGATTGCCCCACCTTCATAGGCCTTAAAATATCTTTAGGGGCTTCTACCTGTATTTGTAAAGTTATTAATATCTAATCATGTGTCTGAAACATGCTCATTTATTAACTATCTAAACAAGATAATAATAAAATGTTATTTACAGGATCATTAGTTTCGAGGCTTAATTGCTTCAATGTGAATATGAGGAGGTAAATTGCATATGACATTGTTTGATTTGTCCTAATACTAAATGCTCCATTTGATTAAGATTGAAAAAAATGCATATGGACAAACTCATCATGAGTATTTAATTAACAAAGCAAGCAACTTTTAACCATCATTATTTTAATGCACAAGTAACATGAATGAACTCTAAAAAGACAAAAAACAAAAAAAAAGACATGTAGATTTTGAATAATGAATAAATCATTAAGTGGAAAAGATTATACAAGTAAAGAAAAAACAAATAAATAGAAAGCCTGATATGCAACTAGGAACCACAACAGAAAAACGAAATCCAACTTGGAAGCAAAAATGTTGTAATGTGAAACATAGATGTTAAGTAGACTGCTTATGTAAAGCCAATAGTTGATCTAAAGAAATAAATTCTGAAAGTAAAAAAGAAACCATGCCTTCAAGACAGCAAGATCCTTTAACCGGTCAGCTCCAACGAGTCTACCTTCAAAATTCTTTTGTAGCCTTTAAAATAGAAAGTGTCAAAATTACATATATTAATTATTAAGTTTGCAACAGCAACATATGCAAAGAAATAAATTCTCCATGAGTCTCACCCTTCTGATGCTAGAATATTAACTCGAGCAACAATCTCACCAGCATTTGGATTTCTTGAAAGGGCATTGCCAATTACTGAATAATACAAGAATATAACAATCAGAAGTCAGCAAGATTTGGAAAATACGTATACAAATTAACAAGTGCATAAAGCAGAGCACAGCAAGTACATTAGGCAAGCAGCAAAATGAGGCCAAAATTTTCAAAGAATGGAGACAAAGGGGAGAAAAACCAAAAGATATTTAAAAGCACAAAATAAATTAACAAATACTTATTATTACTTTGAGAATACATGCCCAAGTCAAGAAAGTCCAACTAAGTTTGATCAATAAAGGATAAAATTTTACTTATGCATTATGCACATTAACTCAAGAATACTTATGCACATTAACTCATAGCTCAATAAAATTTTACTCAAGAGAACCAAAGCTAAATGTGTGTGATGATTGTGTATTGTTTTGGAGATTGGATTCAGACATAACAGAAACACTCTATTTTCTACATTTATGCTCACCGTGATAATTTGTCACAATGTGGCCATCCTCATCCCAAACTACTCCAGAACCATTTCCTTCAGGAATCTGCAAGCATAGATACAAAAAGTAAATTACATTGTTTGATATTTTACTCACATATAGGACAATAAAAAATTCGTCATACTAATAAGCTAGACACAATATAATAATTAAAAAATAAGTAGTCCTTGATACACCTTAAAATGATTTAACATCAGATATTATAGTTTAAGTACCAAGTTACCTCAACCACACCAGTTACATTAAGCTGAGGACGTAATGTCACATCGAATATGTTAACAACAGAGTATGTGTTCCTTTCAAATAGTTGGACAATTCGATCCTGCCAATAACAACAAATTAGAATTAAATACTGCTAGATAAGGGTTTAAAAAAATGTGCCATACAATCACAACAGACAAAAGAGGGGCTATAGTTGAAAGTTGACCTCTATGGGAAACAGTGGCCCAGGAGAAAACACAGGAGGGGTTACTTCTTCAAGTGTCACTGATGGATCTCCCAATGCTAGGGCTGTACATTTATAATTTATTGCAAGATGATAAACTTTGCTAGCAAATACTAATACACACTAGAATAAAAGAATACATGTTTATCATCAAAGAACATAGAAAATTAGAACACTACTGCTAGAATTCTATTACTGCACTCCACCAATTTCATATTTACAATTGGTGTCATATTACAAGTTAAAACTAAGAACTCAAACTCACCATTGGCTACTCATGGCTCCATATAACAAACACTAATAATCAGGGTCAAATACACCAAACTTAAGGTAATCCACCTCGTCAGTATTTACAAAACAAAAAACACATTTTTTACCTATACCCGCAAATGATTCAAGCAGCTAAATATATTTAGTCCATGTAAAATCTTGATTTGTTAGTTTTAGGCTAAATTTTTTTCGTTGGCTTTAACTCTCATTAATTTAAATTTTTATTTGATCTCTATCACCATTTAGTGATGATGCAGCCTGACTCTACATTCTGTATCAGGGATCATTCTTCTGAGATGACGTGAATTGGCATATCTAGATACATATCAAGCCAATAGTAAATGCAACATGAACCATTTTCAAATCATCTGAAATTTATAAAAACTAAATCCATCAAAAATAAATTTTGGAGCACTAAAACCAAAAAAAAAAATTGTAATTTAGAGACTAAAACATCTTAACCCCCCCCCCCCCAAAAAAAAAAAAAAAAAGATAACATTGGCAATTAAACTACGGATCAAAAAATAACAAACTTCCCAACATACAACCAATCAAACAGGTTGAACACAAAAGCTGAACCGTGCGAACCTGACAAGTACCTTGAAGAACAGAAACAAGGGTACATAGTCAAACTCGCCATTAACGCACGTCGTGTTGGGGACAGAACAGCCTTCCTCAGCATTGCACCAAAATCCAATGTTTCATCTTGAATAGTGCTGCTACATCTGTGTGTAATCAATCAAACACACACACACAACAACAAAAGTCACAACCCCGCATAAAAACAAGCAACCCCAACAATGAAAACGCACTCTTACGTGCACAAAGACTCAAACTTTGAAGATGCAACCACAAAAGACACACACCCACAAAATGAAAATGCACAAAGACTAAAACTTTGTTACTGAAAATGCAAGCACATAAGTTTGGAAGAAGAATGGGGGCACCTTGAAATGGAGATGGGTGGAAGGACGTGGTTTGGGGAGTGAGAGCAGACAGAGGACATTCCATCAAAGCAGATCTCACGGCGGCTGAGGAGAGAAGTTGTTGTTGTTGTTGTTGTTGTTGTTGTGTGGGTTGGCACTCCCAATGACCACAAATTGCATGCTGAAGATATTACTTGCATGGTGGGTGGAGTTGGAAAGTGTTAATTTGGGGACAAAGAGTGATGAGAGAGATAAGGGGTTAAGGGTGCCATCATCTTTGAGTTTCAGATATTATCATGTCAACCAAATGGAATCAGTTCAAGTTCGAGTTAATAAAATAAAATAAAATAAAATTAGAGTTTAATTTTTTTCTTTTTTCTGAAGTACTTTATAAAATAAAATTTATAAAGGTTTAAAAAATTATGAGCGTGATATCAGTAATTTTCATTAAATAATTTAATTCATTTTTTATTTTTATAAAATTAGTTATAATAGCTTGTAAAAGTTTTTTACATTATTGTCTTTTGAAATTAGATTTTAATTTTGATAACAAACTAAAAAATTATCTAAAATATAACTTTAAAAATAATTTTATTATTGATTGAATACTGTAACAAAGTATTAACTCTATCAAAATATTTTACCAAGCTTTGCAATAATAATTTTTTCGTAGCTTCAAGATAAACTATGTTGCGAATAAAGAATAATTTCATATAGATAAATATGTATAAAAAATAATTTAAATATATTTTTAATCCTATAAAATAAATAAATTTTGATTTTAGTATAAAAAATATTTATTTTTTTATTTTTCTAAACTTTGAAATAATTGTTTTTATCTTATAAATTAAATGAAAAAAAATTTAGCTCTTATAAAATATTTTTTATTTTTATCAGCATTTTAATTTGTACATTTTACAAGATAAATATTTAATATGTATAATTAAATTTTAAAATAAATTTTATATAAATAAATATTATATTTTAATATATAAATTACATTTAAATTTATATAAATAATTTTTTTAAAAATATATATTATATTTTAAATTTAAGATAAATAATATATTTTGTGGCATAAAATTATTTTTAATTTTTAATAATTTATTTTAAATATTAAATTTAATTCATAAGTAAATTGAATTAAATAAAAAAGTTATAAAAACCCTTGAAAATATTTCAATTGAAGAATAACCTTAAAAACACTTATGTGCAAAATAATTTCACATTTGTTATATTAGAATTGATTTATCCAAAATTTGAAATTAATATTTTTTTTCTTTAATATTTATTTTAGAATAAATATAATATTTATTTTTAAATATTTATAAATAATAAAAAAAAAAAATAAATGCTAGAAATTTGAAAAAAAGGTTGATTAGCATAATTTACAAGCTAAATTATTGAAATTGGCCTAATAGTAAATATTGAAATAGTATATACATGATATTATAGTATAATTATGATGTTTTTAACAATAATTATTTTGTTATATGATGTTTAAGGTACACAATGAAATCGGTTAACAAAATAAATAACAATAAATTAAAATTTTTGGAGTAGAATTATTACTCTGATTCATTAAAAATAAAAATTTCAATTATCACCCTAAACCTTGAAAACAACATTGACAATCTCTCATGGTTGGAGGACATTCAAGAAAAATTATTAACTTCAACCATGTTGTTTATAAATTTTATTTAATATGTATGTTTGCTTGCTAAATCATTTGGTTTACTAATTTTATTATCATAGTGATATAATTTTGTTTTCCCCACTTTTGAAAGGGTTCTCCTTGTAACATACTTTTAACATGTGTAACATGATAGTGTTCATGTCAACTTCATCGAATATGAATATTAGTTTTATCATATAACATATTTTAATTTTCTAAAAGTAATAAAAATACCAACAAATTGTTAGTCAAGTGAAAATAAAATTGATTCTTCTAAACAAAGTCATGAGTTTAAGTTTTGTTGACAAGGAAAACATGATTAAAAACAGAAACATAAAAATAATGATTGTTTCTTATAAATAAGATTAAATTCGAGTATATCATACAAATAATATAATTATACAAATTAACTAAATACATATATATATATATATATATATATATATATATATATATATATGTATATTTATGTGTGTGATAGTTCAATAGCTTTCAATTCAATAATGCTTTTTAATATTTATCATTAGATTGAAGCTTCTTTCCATTTAGATCATACATACACAAAATTTCGTATTAATAAAAAATTATTAGATACCTTATCCATATAAATCAAAATTAACATATGTCTTTTGAAAATATATTAAAATATAAATAATTTGATTATTTTTTTTATTATTGTTCAATTTTAACAAAATTTGACATACATGTTTAAAGTAATACAAGATTTCAATCTAATGAGTTTTGAGAAAACATCATCTGTAACGACTCGTTGTGACCGTCATACTACGGAACAACACTACATACTACTAGAATATATATACTAGAATAGTATAATAAAATATTTACAACAAAAGTTGTTAATCAAGCAACCAACAGCAACTAGTTATGTATAACAAAATATGCTACTATAAGGTAGCCTACAAAAAAATATACATCTCCAAGCACCTCCTGTGGCCTCTAGTAGCTATCTCTCAGCATATCCCTGCTCTGCTCTCATACAACGTATGATCATCGTAGTCCAAACCACATGGAAACATGCAAGGGTAAGCTAGAGACAATAAATAACTCATAATAATTTAATATGCAATACAACAACTATATAATCATCTTCGCATCCAACACATAAGACAAACAACATATATATTATACATCTTAACATCATTTCAACTTGATTCCACATAACAACGTTGTATCAACACTTCAACGCAACTACTGTACAAACCATTAGAATAGTTATCATATTCATCATAACAACAACCAACACATGTATTACACATCTCTCAACAACACATGTTTAAAACAACTTACAACACAGGTATCTAGCGACACTAGCATCATCATCAACTTGTATACAATTAAGCAACTTACAACATAACAGCACTATTATCATCCTCAACCAACAAATCAACTCATCAACAACTTATGCGTCGTCACGCATTTCAACTCGGAGATCTCCTACAACGTGGTGAGTAGTCTAAGTGGCTAGGTCCTACCGAACCGACAACACAGAACCTTTTTGGGCTTGCTAGGTAAACAGCAAATTTGGATATCAATCCACAACACGATAACGGTTTCTCATACTTTGTCACTTAAACAAGGAAGTATAGTACTCAGTTAGGAATTAAGTTCCTGACTTCGTACTTTACTCAAATTGGCCGTTTGTAATCAGTATAGCTCGACCTGGCCCCTATACTGTTAAGTCTCAATTTTACCTCTTTTTGGATGAG